GACACCCCTCTTCACATGCATCTCAGAATATTGATGAAAAACCACAAATTGGATGCCTTCTTATTCAGGTTACCACAGGGTGCTACTCATTATGGAGAAATATTGTGCACTGTTATCAAAGAAATCAAAAGTTCCACAAATCATAGGAAACATCTTTGTGGTCACAGCCTCTATGAACGTATTCTCTGACTTCTGATATAGATTGTGCCTGGCCCCCGAAAACAAGTAGGAACAAGGAGAGGGGGCAGCGAGAAGCTGTGGAGGGCCTGCAGCAGCATGACTGAAAACCGACTTCGGTAATGGAATGGTGAGTGAACTCATGACTTCTGCTGCGTGAAAAAGGAAAAAGTTTTAGAGTTTACAAAGAAATCATGGCTTCAAATGAGTGGAATTCTCACCTTATTCTCCAAAAACACACTCCCTTTCCTTTAGGGCCACACAGATTTACATTTTTTCCTTCCTTAGGGAGCTCTAAATTCCACAGGAGACAGAAGCAAACAGCAACGGGGAGTCTACTCAAAGGTTCACATCTATGCCCCACCACTCAAAAGAAAACATTTCTGCAAATGGCACATATCAGTAAAACCTCCCCTCTGGGAACTGCCTGTGATACCTTGCTCTTCCTTATCTCTACTTTTATTTCACAGATCACAGACTATTCTTCAGGAGTGCTTGCTTCAATTTCACTTTTGTTTCTCTATTTCCATTGCTGTGACCTTATTTAACATCTCATCTCCTCATTTCCAGATCAGAAGCAAGAGCCCCTAACCATCTTACGTTTTTAATTCTCTTTCCCCAATCTATCCAATAAGGTACTTACCACATCCCTCTTTCCATCTGAAAAGACAAGTGATTCCTCCCTATTGGTTTACTTCACAAAGCCCAAGAGGTCCGCAGCATTTCAACCTCTATATAGTTTGTTCCCATTGTATCTGGTCATTCTTTTTTAAATCACCCAACAATTCCTTACTCTTTCTCTAATATTTTTATAATGTTTTATTTTTTAAAGCAATTCTATGAATATCAGTTCATCTGACTACTGTGATGATCCAAATGTAGCATTCCTTTCAAAAATGAACTTCTTTATTGAAGCATAACACATGTGCAAGTAACAGGTTCTGCACGTTTACACAAATTGAACACGCTAGGAATCATCACCCAGAACAAGAGCCAGAACAGTTACACAGCCCAAAAAGTTCTCATACTTTTTCAGCTACTATCCCTACCTAGACATATTACTTCAAGGCAAGAAAATTCAACTTTTTCATAATATGCATTTTTCATGAAATGTCTTTGTTATGAATGGATTTCTAAACATTTTTACACCAAAATAAATGTATCTTTTAGGTCCATTTTCCATGGTGTTTTTGAAGCACTTTCACTAGCAGGGGAAAAGCTGCTGGCTCATAGAATAAGCACATATTCAGCACTCCCATCAGCACTAACACTGCCACCAACAACTGGCATCACAGGCCTTTTCATTTCAGCCATTCTAGTTGGTAATGTAGTGGTGTCTTCCTGTGTTTTTGTGTTTCCATGTCAGCAAAGGAGATGAGTTAACTATGATATCCTGGCAACAATGAAGCCCAGAAAGATTAGGTAGTGGACAGTAAAATTCAAGTTCTTTGGCTCTAAGTTCACTGGTTTTTCTGCCACCCTATGTAAACCATCAAGAAACATCAAACTTCTGGTAAAGCCATATTGCTGCCCTACTGCTGCCTCAATTTCTTAGCTGTCTGGTCCTGCACATGTGACTACACTGTTGCACTGGGCTGTGCCAGCTTCCTCTGTAACAACAGGGAGAAAAGGAATTAGCAGCATGGAGGATGGACTCAAAAATGACTATTTTATCCTTATTCCAAGACACGTACTCACTAACAGAAGTCAATTCAGAACTTAAACATTTAATTTACTATGTTGATCTTTTCTTCTATGTCTTCTCCCTATAACATTTTTTTTAAAGATTTATTTATTTTATTACAAAGTCAGATATACAGAGAGAAGGAGAGACAGAGAAGATCTTCCATCCGATGATTCACTCCCCAAGTGAGCGCAACGGCTGATGTTATGCCGATCCGATGCCGGGAGCCAGGAACTTCTGGGTATCCCACATGGATGCAGGGTCCCAAAGCTTTGGGCCGTCCTCTACTGCTTTCCCAGGCCACAAGCAGGGAGCTGGATGGGAAGTGGAGCTGCTGGGATTAGAACCAGCGCCCATATGGGATCCCGGGGCATTCAAGATGAGGACTTTTAGCCACTAGGCCATGCCGCTGGGCCCCTCTTTCTATAACATTTAACATTTTTAAAAAGATCTTTAAAAATTTTTAAAGGATCTATCTATCTATCCATCTATCTACATATTATTGGAAAGGTAATTTTATAGAGAGAAGGAGAGATATAGAGTTTTCCATCCACTGGGTGAATCTCCAAACGGCCTCAGTGGTCAGAGCTGAGTCAATCTGAAGCTAGGAGATTCCTCTGGGTCTCTCACGTGGGTACAGGCCATCCTCCATTGCTTCCCTAGGCCACAAGTAGGGAGCTGAATGAGAAGGGGAGCAACAGGGACATTGGTACCCCCATGGGATCCTGGTGCTTACAAGAGGAGGATTAGCTAGTTGAGCCATTGCATCAGCCTCTACTTCTATTTATTTATAAGGCAGAGAGATGAATAGAAATCTTTACTCAAACACCCCAAAGAGCCAGGGCTTGACCAAGCTGAAGCCAGGAGTCTGGGACTCAGCATGCATCTTTCTTTTGAGTGACAGAAATTCTACAGCTTGAATCATCAACTGTTATCTCCAAGGGGGCACATTAGCAGTAAGCTAGAGGCTGAGCCAGAACTGGAACCCAAGAACCCCAGTGTGGGATACAGACATCACCACCTCCCCGCACCCTCTTGATTAAGCAGATTTGTACTTGCATCTTGCAGGTATAATTTTCCTTATTTAAATAAAATAATGTAAGTAATTTTCAAACTCTCTGTATTTATTTCCTTTGCTGTCTTTCATTAATGTTGCAGCTTTTTCAATACACTTATTATACCAGAATACTTAGAAGGCATTTTTATTTACTTTTTTAAAAAAAGCTTTATTTATTTTTATTGCAAAGTCAGATATGCAGAGAGAAGGAGAGACAGAGAGAAAGATCTTCCGTCCGCTGATTCACTCCCCAAGTGAGCGCAATGGCCGGTACTGCAAAGATCCGAAGCCGCAAGCCAGGAACTCTTCCGGGTTTCACACCCGGGTACAGGGTCCCAAGGCTTTGGGCCATCCTCAACTGCTTTCGCAGGCCACAGGCAGGAAGCTAGATGGGAAACGGGACAGCTGGGATTTGAACCAGTGACCATATGGGATCCTGGTGTGTTCAGGGTGAGGACTTCAGCCGCCAGGCCACCGCGCTGGGCCTTTATTTACTTTTATCTCAGATATTTTAAATAAATAAGTAGTTTAGATGAAGCATTAAGATGGAAATGACAAGAAAGCAAATGGCAACAGCTCCTTAGATATCTATAGCAGACATTATAATGCTTTAAAGCATGAGACCATATTAGCAGACATTATCAGACTGTGCTAACATGCAAGCCTTCTGGTATTTCCAAAATAACAAGTATTTGTGAGACCAGATTACAAGAAACTTGACCTTTAAGGATTTTACAGTATTTTATGATATGGTATCATACAAATATTATAACATTGTGCTTTGTTACAAGGTTTACATATATGTAACACCTACCACCACAAACACTAAGCTATATATTTTCCATACATCATCTAATTATTAAAAAAAAGTTTTGTTTCTTTATCTGAAAGTCAGCGATACAGAGAGAGGGATCGATTCCATTTACTAAATCATTCCCCAGTTGGCCACCACACACACAGCTGGGCCAGGAAGAAGCCAGGAGCTTCGTTCTGGTCTCCCACATGACTTGAGGGACCACAAGCACTTGGACCAGCCTTTGCTGCTTTCCCAGAACACTAGCTGGGAGGTGTATCAGAAATGGAGTAGCAGGGCCTGGTGTGGTGGCCTAGCAGCTAAAGTCCATGCCTTGAACATGCTGGGATCCCATATGGGCACCAGTTCTAATCCAGGCAGCTCCACTTCCCATCCACTTCGCTGCATGAGGCCTGGGAAAGCAGCTGAGGATGGTCCAGAGCCTTGGGACCCTGCACCCAGGTGGGAGACCCCAAAGAAGCCCCTGGCTTTGGATTGGCGCAGCTCCGGCCATTGCACTCACTTGGGGAGTGAATCATCGGACAGACACTCCTCCTCTCTGTATATCTGACTTTGCAATAAAAATAAATAGATCTTCTTAAAAAAAAAAAAAAGGAAAAAACAAATGGAGTAGCAGCAACTCCAACTGGTGCGCAAAAAGGGTGTTGGTGGTACAGGTTTAATCCTCTATGCTACAATGCCAACCCCACACTACTTAATTCAATCCTCACAACTCCAGAAAATATTTAATATTTATGCATCAGGAAAACTAAAACTCAAGGAGATTAAGTAGTTTATCTAAGATTACGTAGTTTGTAACACATAGATATGGGATTTACATTCAAGAGTACTCAGGTCTAAAGTCACCAAACTTTCCTCCTTTATGCCATGCTCCCACTACCAGAAGGCTAGGCTCTTCCTGAAGGCTCAGGTTCTGCCACGGCCATCATATGCTGTCCGGCATGCTTTCCCTCCCAGCAGTTTCCCAAGCATTACTTAACTGGACAAGACACCCGGGTACTGCTCTTCTGGGTTCCAGATCCCTTTCTTTCCAATTCCTAAATAACAGAACTCTGCACTTGCATTAGCTAATCTAAGGACACCAGGTAATGCGAATAAGGAAGTGTGCTTACAGTGCACTGGGATCTTCCTTGGGAATGCTTTTTCAAAGATATGCCTCTAAATGACTTTGTCATTTCAAGAGACAGTAGGAGTGATGGGTAATGGAATATGCCAAACACAGTGAAGCTAAACCAAGAAGAAAACCCAGACTCTGAGGTGACTCTTACTGTGCGCTGAGGGCCATCTTCATTATCCCTCATGTAGAAAGGCTTGAGTGCTAAGGGGTAATTGATGACGAAGACAGGTATGTTGCCACAGTGCCTCACCAGGTACTTTTCATGTTCGGTTTGCAGATCGGCACCCCACTGTAACGAGGAAAAAGAAATCACCAAAAAAGAAGACAGGAGAGAAATATTTAATTAGGTATCCGACAACAACCTCAATCAGTTCCAAGGGCTTATTCTCCCTAAAGCTCTCCAAAGAGTGGAGCTGTCAGCTGAGCTGTCTCTCTGACTAAACCAGAGAGAATGAGAGAGAGCGCGAGAGCGAGCGAGCTCTGTTTACAACAGCAGTCTTAGGCCTGGGAAAAGGAAAGCTTAAACCAGGAAGCAGCGGGCTGTCACCTGCTCAGAGAGCAGCCTTCAGTATGAGATCAGCACCTGAAGGAAACGAAGCACATTCTCCAAAGGGATAAAGCTGATTTCACAATCACTGTGCTTGTCAACACTGCTTAGAGCTTCTGCACAGTTAGCTCCCAAGTCTCAGGAAATCAAATGACTGAAGGTAATATTCTGTATTGGACCTATCTTTGGCTACCTGGCTTCTCTCGGCAAATTTTTAAATAAGAGTCAACTCACAGTTCAAATGATCTTTGATGAAATTTAATAATACGGTTCAGCTTATTTATTTAGCAAATACCAATGTGCCTATTCAATTCTAAGAATCAGGCTAAGTACTGGGTACGGTGATAAGAAAACATTATAATACCGGATTTCATGAAGCTTCCAGGGTATGAGGCAAAAGTCAATGAAAAATTACACGAACTCATAAAAATATAAGAAATGTAGGTGATTATTAATACTTGGGCATTAGGAAAAGAATCTGAAGAGACACGTTGATACTCTTCATTTTATTTTCCTAATCCACTTGTCTAGTTATATCCTAATTACAGGAGGAAAGGACTGAAACAGCCATGAAGGGACAGTTCTGTCACCATGAACACTCTCTCATGCATCATGGGGACTATCTAGACCTAACCTGCCCAATGAATCAAGGTATCTCCCTGCAGAAAGAGTGTGGTTACCAGGTGGAGAGATGCTGATCAATGGGCACCAACTTTCAGTGATAAGATGAACATGTTTTGAGGAGCTAATGTATAAGATGGGTGCTGACGGATGTGGTAATCTGATTGTAATACTGCACAATATGTGTGTACATGAAATCATCATATTATATATACTCTGAACATACACAACCTTTATTTTGTCAACTAAAATGTTCGAATTTAAGGTTCAGCTCCAGCTGTTGTGGCCACTTGGGGAATGAACCAACAGATAGAAGATCTTCCTCTTTGTGTCTCCCCTTCTGTGTATATCTGACTTTCCAATAAAAAGAAATAAATTAAAAAAAAAAACCCACAAACCTGCTTAATATGAAGCCTAAGCTTATACGAATACATAACTTCTCTGTTACCTCTGAATGTCATTCAGAACATACTTGGGAAGTAGTAAAACAGTCGATTTCCACAGTAATATACTTTTTAATTCCTGCAAAATTTTATCTATTAAGCAAAGAAACAGAAATGGAGGGAGACAGAGAATCCCCACCTGCTGGTTCATTCCCCAAATATCCACAATAGCCGAAGCTGGGAGCTGGGCACATAAACCAGGAGTCCTGTGTGGGTGGCAGGGACCCAATGACTTGTGTCTTCACTATCATCTTTCACTGTGTGAATCAACAGGAAGCTGGAATCAGGAGTGTGGTTCAGACCCAAATCCAGGTCCTATGCAATGGGGTGGGAACGGCCCAAACGTGACTTCACTGTGGGGTCAAATGCACACTCTTCCACAGGAGTGTTTTCTTACTGTTCATTTTTGTATTTTTTTTTTTTAGGAGTCACTTCCCTTGATAATTACAGAGTAAATATTTCAATGAGGTGCTGTAAATATGAAGCAAAGCTTATATACAAATAAGCCAATATTACACATAGATCTAAAAGAGAAATAGTTATTTTAAAGGATTCTTAATTAACAGGAAATATACGTATTTTCACCTTCCCCACACCCAAACACACATAATACCTCTGGGGTGAAGGTGAAGTTCTGGGATGCTTTCTTTAAGATGTCTACTGCTTCAGTATAAGAAATGCTAAAGAAAAACAAAAGAGAAGCAGAGAGAGAGAGAGATCAACACAATGCACTAGGTCTACATTAAGACTAGAAAAAGCCTATTCCCATCTAGTCTGTGAGATCATGAATACTTTGTAATCAGGAAGGAAGGCTGATGTATTCTTGTGAAGGCTTGTCCTGCAGGAACAAGCGTGGCCAGGGAGCAGCCCCACTCCCGACACACAGCAGCCCCGCTCCCGACACGCAGAAGCCCCACTCCCGACACGCAGCAGCCCCACTCCCGACACGCAGAAGCCTCACTCCCGACACGCAGCAGCCCCACTCCCGACACGCAGCAGCCCCACTCCCACAAGAAGGGAGCCTCTCCGGTTCTATGACTCGGCCTGTGCCTCAGCAAAAGGCATGAAGTCTTGATGCTGAAATATAGCAGACCTTCAAAACTGTTGTTCCATCACCCATTTATCTAACAAACATGTACTTAGAGCACCCACATTCTAAGCACTGGTGTAATAAAATAACAATAAAGCCCCTGCCTTCAGGAGAGATCCAGACAAGGTGGGAGAACAGTAGCGTACCTGTAGATCTTCCTTTTTGGTACATTAATATTTTTTTTGTGAACTACTACATAATATTCGATTCTCTGACAGGGGTTGTAGCACAGTGGGTTAAGTTGCCACTTGAGATGTCTGCAGCAACATTAGCCTGTCAGTAGGAATACCAACTGTTTCACTTACAATTCAGCTTCTTGCTAATGCACCCTGAGTGGTATCAGAAGAGAGCCCAGTAGTGGGTTTCTGACTCTAACAATGAAAGATCTGACTGGAGTCCTTGGCTTCTGGCTACAGCACTCTCAGGCCCAGCTTCTGCAAATATCTGGTGAGTTAATTAGCATGCAGATCTTTTACTTTTACCCTGTTTCAAGTAGATGAAAAGTAAACATTTTTAAAAACTCTATTCTGTGGATGTGCTTGTCATATATTGACAGATATTTCACATGCTTCCAATTTTTTTGCTATTATAAATGCTTTTTGGGCCCAGCATGGTAGCCTAGCAGCAAAGGTCTTTGCCTTGTACATGGGCAACAGTTCTAATCCTGGTGGCCCCATTTCTCATCCAACTTCCTGTTTGTGGCTTGGGAAAGCAGTCGAAGATGGCTCAAAGCCTAGGGACCCTGTACCCACATGGGAAACTCAGAAGCTGCTCCTGGCTCTTGGCTTTGATGGCTCGGGGCTCATCAGCTCAGCCCCGGCTAGTACAGCCACTTGGGGAGTGAATTAGTGGACAGAAGATCATTTTCCCTGTATCTCCTTCTCTTTGTATATCTGCCTTTCCAATTAAAAAAATGAATATTTTAAAAATGCTTTTTTAAAAAACATTTATTTATTTTCATTGCGAAGTCAGATATACAGAAAGGAGGAGAGACAGAGAGGAAGATCTTCCATCCGGTGATTCACTACCCAAGTGGCCGCAATGGCTGGAGTGGCACCAGTCCGAAGCCAGAAGCCAGGAACTTTCTCCAGGTCTCCCTCATGGGTACAGGGCCCCAAGGCCCTGGGCCATCCTAGACTGCTTTTCCAGGCCACAGGCAGGGAGTTGTATGGGAATTAGGGCCATTGGGATTAGAATCAGTGACCATATGGGATCCTGGTGCATGCAAAGCAAGGACTTTAACCACTACACACTATCGCACTGGACCCTAAAAATGCTTTTTTTCAAAAAGACTTATTCACTATTTGAAAGGCAGAGACAGAGACAGAGAGAGAGAGAGAGAGAGAGAGAGAGAGAGAGAGAAAGAGAAAGAGAAATAAAGAGAGAAAGATTTTCAATTTTTTTGGTTCACTTCCCCTGCAAATGGCCACAATAGCCAGGGCTGGGCTAGGCCAAAGTCAGGAGCCACTGACCTTCTGACACACATGAGCAGGGAACTGAATCCAAAGTGGAGAAGCCAGGTCTTGAACTGATGTCCATATGAGATGCTGATATTGTAGGTACAAATTTAGTCCACTATGCCATATCACTAGCCCTACAAATAATTTGTACTTATTAAGTAGGCACCGGGAAAAATGAAATTGTCACGTCATAGCTTGCAATTAGTACACAGTTTGAAAGACACTGACCTCTTTAAAATAGGATTATGCCAATTTATGAACACTGATAACATCTGAAAAGATAAGTTTCCTTGCAAACTGCAACAGGTTTATTTTATTGCAACAGTAATTTTTTAAAAAAATTTATTTATTTGAAAGGCAGAGTACACAAGAGACAGAGGGACAGACACTGGTTCACTTCCTCATTGGCTGACATGAGCAGAGCTGGCCAGGCCAAAGCCAGGCGCAGGTCTCACACATGGTTATGGCAGCCCAAGGACTCTGTCAGTGAGCCAGATGGAGCAGAGCAGCTGGGACCCCAACAAGCATTCCTAGTGGATGCTGCCTTCGTATATGGAGGCTTGACTTGCTATGCTACAATTTTGGCTGCCAACAATATTGAAATGATTAAAGAAAAAAAAAAAAGACTCTAAAAGATCTAGAGCTCAAAATATAACCACAAAGTAGCCAGCACTGGGGCACAGAATGTAGAGCCACCTCCTGCAATGCCTTCACTCCACATGGGTGCTGGTTCATGTTTTGATTGCTTTACTTCTGGTCCAGCTTCCTGCAGTGTCATGGGAAAGTTGCTGGAGGCCCGATACCCACAGGGAACACCTTACGGGGCTAAGGGCTCCTGGCTCCCCGCTTTGGCCTGGCCCAGTCCCAGCTGTTGTAGCCATTTAGGAACTGAGCCAGTAAATGGAAGCTCTCTCCCTAGTCCTCTCTGAAACTATTTTCGATAAATAATATAAACCTGAAAAAAATAAACCTATCCATATATGTAAAACCTATACAAAGTAACTAGAAATAGTAGTGTATCATGGGACAAGGAAAGTCCCTGAAGCTGTGTTTTCAGCATCTGATAGGTTTTACCTCAGAATGGAAATCCTACTCAGATCAAAATCTATTTTAAACAGGTCATTTCAAAGGCAGTGGTGGTGTTGGTAGCAGTAGTTGAAGTAACAGGATTCTAGAAATCAACATTTCAGAGAAAGGAAACTGAGGCTCAGAAAGGATCAGAAATTTAGCAGAGCAGTAATCCCCAATCTGCTGATAATCGAGTTTAACTTTGAACTGCTAGGACGACACACACTTGGGGTTTCATATGTTCAATCACAGCCAGAGGATTCAAGACTCCTTTTCTTACCCTACTTGCTATGAAGGTCATTTCCAACTTAGTAAAAGCATGTCATTACATGTTTGTAATCTGTTACACAAGCATCAACAAACTAAGTGCAGACAACTCTATTAAAATCTTTCCCATATACACACTCTGTTGTCCCGTTTTGTCAATTACACTGAGAATTGTAATAGAAATCAAAACAGGAAGCAGTAGGATCTCATACCTATATTTATTTCACTATTAAGAGAAGCTTTCGGGCCCGGCGCAGTGGCGCAAGTGGTTAAAGGTCCTCGCCTTGCACGCCCTGGATCCCATATGGGCGCCGGTTCTAGTCCCGGCAGCCCCGCTTCCCTTCCAGCTCCCTGCCTGTGGCCTGGGAAAGCAGTCCAGGACGGCCCAAAGCTTTGGGAACCTGCACCCGCGTGGGAGACCCGGAAGAGGCTCCTGGCTTCGGACTGGCATAGCATTGGCTGTTGGCTCCCTTGGGGAGTGAATCATCGGACGGAAGATCTTCCTCTCTGTCTCTCCTCTCTGTATATCCGCCTTTCCAATGAAAAAATAATAAAAATAAATCTTTAAAAAAAAAGAGAAGCTTTCAGGCCTGGCGCGGTGGCACAGTGGTTAAGGTCCTCACCTTGCACGCCCGGGATCCCATATGGGTGCTGATTCTAATCCTGGCAGCCCCGCTTCCCTTCCAGCTCCTTGCTTGTGGCCCAGGAAAGCAGTTGAGGACAGCCCAAGGCTTTGGGACCCTGCACCCATGTGGGAGACCCGAAAGAAGTTCCTGGCTTCGGATCAGCATAGCATCGGCCTTTGTGCTCCCTTGGGGAGTGAATCAGTGGACAGAAGATCTTCCTCTCTGTCTCTCCTCTCTGTGTATCTGCCTTTCCAATAAAAATGAAATAAATCTTAAAAAAAAAAAAAGAGAGAAGCTTTCCAGGCCCGGCATGGTAGCCTAGCAGCTAAAATTCTTACCTTGCACGCACCAGGATCCCATATGGGTGCCAGTTCTAATTCCAGCACCCCTGCTTTCCATCCAGCTCCCAGTTTGTGGCCGGGGAAAGCAGTTGAAACGGGCCAAAGCCTTGGGACCCTGCACCCGTGTGGGAGATCTGCATGAGGCTCCTGGCTTCAGGCAGGCACAGCACCGGCTGTTGCAGTCACTTGAGTAAATCTACAGAATATCTTTCTATCTTTCCTCCTCTGTGTATATGTGACTTTCCAATAAAAATAAATCTTTAAAAAAAAAACAAACACAACTTTCCTGCCTGAAACCTCTTACTGTCCTCTCCATATCCTTTAATTGAAAGCAAAGTTTCCAAATTGAAATTACAGTTCTGATCCTAGATCTGTATTTTTCCCTCAAATGTCTTTGTTTAAAATCTAAATGTCCATATCAGCCAGGAATGATCAGGCTGACATAAAGAGCCTGAAACTCCATCTGCAACTCACAGGTAGCAAGGCCCAAGCACTGAGCTATCCCAGATGCATCAGCAGGTAGATGTATTGTAGCAAAGACTAGAACTAGAACACCAATGTGGCAAGCAGGAATCTTAGCCTACTCTGCCACAAAGCCTGTGAAACTGGAAAGCCTTAAGGGACTTAATCAATTTTCTCTATTAAGTATTTATTTTCTGGTATATAGACAGAATAATATATTTTTCTTTCCTGAGAATGTTTTCAAACTGTTTTTTGAAGAAAGGGAGAAAAAATATCATACTGTAGAATTAAATGATTTTCATGCTTTAAGCTTCTTGTGAATGACAAGAATTAGTCGTTCAAAAGCCATTACAGTAAAGCTGCTAA